ACATGGGTCGCTGGCCGCGAACGGGTTGCCGGCTGCCTTCTCCGGCTGCAGCTCGGATGGCGTCGGCGACGTCGGCGGGGACAAGGGCTTGCTCTTGGCGCCTGGCATGAAGCCCGAGAAGAAGCCCGAGGACGAGCCCTTCTTGCTCATCATGATGGCGTGGATGTTTCACCCCAGAAACGACCGTCGTCCGGATAATCCCGCGCCGACGTTTTTCAGAAAACACACATGTCTTTTTCCACACGTGGTAAATTATGTTTTACACGTACGTGAGAAATGCATTGTACACACGTGGGAATTCGCGCTTTCCCACGTGAGAAACGCACCGTGGGATTGTCGCAGGTACCCGACCCCTAACACCACCACGCGATAACGCAGGTCGTCTTTCGATGGATAATGTGCGTACATACATGTCATCGTATACAAGTCTATAAGTCTATAGATGTCTCCAAGTCTATTTACGTCTAGTATAATACAGGCCGCCGATGTGTCTTGCTGCCAATGGGGACAGATTCGTTTCAAAGCCGACGAATACCGTGCTTCAAGGTTTCGAGACGCCAAGAAGGGCGTCTGATAGCGTCTGATACGACGGGCAGCTGCGCTTCAAGGTGGACACGCCACGCGTCACGTCGTCGTTCTCTTGTCCGCTGCTGCCACCGGTACGTCAAGTGGGTCGGCGGCGTCAAGAAAACGCGCCTGTCAATGGATTTGGTCGAATACGCTTGTCCCTTGGGGCCAAGCAATGTCTTCGCAATCGCACTACCACCCAACTATGGAGGAAGAGACGTCGGTCGCGGAGGTCGCTGCAAGGACCCGTCAAGACAGCACGCCGCCGAGACGATGCGAATGATACGATTCGAATCTGTTGCGCAAGCAAGGCGATTTCCGAGCGCGCATGTCGCTAGCACCGAGTATGCCCACTGACCTTGGTACGATTCAAAGCCATTCAAAGCGCAACCTCCGCCTGTATGCCTTGCTTGACTACACTGGTTTTATTGTTTGGCTACTTCAAGCAACAAAAGAAATCCCATCCTTACCAGGATATTTGCCCTTTAACCCTTACTTACACCCAGTGTACAGTGAGCGCCAGTGACGACGGGCCCAGCTGGTGGCGTCCTGGCCCTTGCTTTTACTACCTTCCCGCACTAGTGTCCTAATAGAAGGAGGTATGTCGTATGTCCAAAGCGCTTAAGGCGTCGATGGCTGCTCGCTGCTTCAAGTCGACTCTTGTACGATGATGGCCGTCGAAAGGCGCCACGAGCAGATCCTCTGCGCTGTGATTGGATCCAGTGCGACGCCGCGCGCGCCGATTGGCTACATATCCGGAATTCGCAGCCGGATCCGGATCCGCTGCATTTCGCATGCCCAAAAGCACCAGTTTGCTTCCAGTCGTGACGAGCAGCAGCTAGCGGATGTCCCTGACCACGCCCCACATCGTGTCGCTTGGCATGTTCTCGTACTGGCCGACGGCCCTCCAGAAGACGGCCAACGCCGACACGGAGCGCGTCTCCGTTGCCCGACACGCTCTACCAGCGCCTCGTCTCGAAGGACCGGCGCGAAGAGCGGGCCTTTGGCTTCATCCGCGAGAGCTACCGCGCGTGGCGGCTCACAGGCATGGAGGCGCGCAAGGTCGTCACCGTTGCGACGGCGCCCGAGCCCATGAAGGCCGACGCGCCGACCAACGACGACCTTGTCGATGCGCTCCAGCTCTTCCACGACGAGATGCACGATACCGACGAC